AGCTCGAACTAGTTTCTCGCAGTGGGTGGTCCCCACACGGCCTCGCGGCGTCCGACCCACCCTTCCTCCCGAGAGACACCTGCTCACCTTGCCTCCCACGGACTCGGACGCCATGTCGATCAGCTGGACGAAGTCCGGAGACCGGGCCAGCTTCCCCTCCCTGGGAGAGTCCACCATGCTTCCTGGGGGGCGGGGGGGCTCGGTCAGCTCGGCTGTGTGGGCTCCCGCCGGGTCAGAAGGGTTCAAACAACACGCATGCTGTCGGGTGGACGGGCACTGCCTCCGCCCAGTGACCCTCCAGGTGAATTAAAGGCGACTTCAGCCCAGAAGGCACCGCTCAGTGAACCAGGGGGTCACGGCTCGATTCCCGGTCGGGGCACAGGCCCAGGGTACGGGCTCCACCCCAGTGTGGGGCGTGCAGGAGGCAGCTGTCCATGACTCTGTCATCATGGATGTTTCTCTCCCTCTCCCCTCCCCTCTGACATCAGTAAAAATAAAGGTTAAAAATAATAAGTGAATAAACCAGCAGCGCATCCTCACCAGCAGCCGGGAGCCCAGGCTCTAGGGTCGGATTCCTTGCCCTGCAGACGCCAGCCAAGGTCTCATGGCGCTCGCTCGGGGGCAGCAGGAGAGAACTCAGGGCCTGGGGGCCTGGGGCCTGGCTGGGCCGCTGATGTCACAAGGGCTCGGGGAGGGGCAGCCCCCCCTGGAGGCCCCCCCCCGCTGCAGTCCCTGCCAGAGGCTCCTGTGGAGGGAGTGGCTGGTCATAAACATGACCTGGGGCCGCAGGCACCAGGCCCTGATGGCGGCCCCTCCCCGGCTGCGCGGAGCCCCTGCCCGGGGCAGAGAGGGAGAAACGCCTGGCTCCGGAAGGCTCACCGGCCACAGGTGGGCAGCGAGTCCCCGCCTCCTTCGGCTCACGGCACACATTAAGGTCGAAAAGCCTGCGGCTCACCAACAAATACATTTTTGCCAATCTGACCAGAAAATCGCTATAATTTTGATTGATTTACAAAAACATATAATAATTACCTACCCTCTTTGCTCCAAAGTGACTTTTAAACAATCAGATGCCTGTACTTGGACATAAGGATTTCTGGTCCCAAGAACTAACCAATCAGATGCAACCTTATTATGCAATGTGACCAATGAGATGCGATTCTATCATAGAACCTACGTATGGATGGACGGTTCCAGTCAGAGCATTCATGTCTGACGGCTGTTTTGTGTTGGCTGTTGTCATTTTTATTTTTTATTTCAGAGAGGAAGGGAGAGGGAGAGAGGGAGAAACACCAATGATGAGAGAGGATCATGGCTCAGCCGCCTCCTGCACGCCCCCCACTGGGGATCGAGCCCACAACCCGGGCCTGTGCCCTGACCTGGAATTGAACCCTGACCTCCTGGTTCCTAGGTCGAGGCTCAACCACTGAGCCTCGCCGGCCGGCCCCTTCCTGCTGGATTTGGAGTCTCCTGTCTGCAGCTAAGAAACGCCCCAGCCCTTGGCTCCCATCTGCTGACCTGAATTGGGTCACACCTGGTGGCCCTCACCTGCCACCCTCCCCCCCAGGAAGCATGGTGGGTGCGCTGTCCTAGACAGTCCCGGAGGGGGCACCCACACGGAGGGGGCACCCACACGGAGGGGGCGGCTGGGAGAGCCATGTCCGAGTCCCGGTGCAGCAGGGACCAGACGCTAGAGAGCCACACAGCACCCACCGGCCCGAGCCGCCCTCACCTCCCCTCACCTCCCATCACCTCCCATCACCTGCCCTCACCTCCCGTCACCTG